TTTATTATATAATGTGTTATTAGATAAAACTCGATACATGGAAGTGGAATTGAAAAAAAGAATCGAAAAGGGCAAGATCCAAAGTTTGGGGACTAAAGTGTAAATACTCAAAAGTTGTATCGGACCTCATGATGAAGATTCGAGAATGCTAGGAGTCAATTGGATGCAATTAGAAGTCAAAAAAAATGAAATAAGAAGAAAATATTTTTACAAATTAATTTTTAACCGCACAAGTATGTTCCATATTTTTAGCCCGAAATTTAGACCCATTTTTGACCTAGTAAAAGTTCGAGTTGAAAAAAAGCTATTTCTAGTAAAGTTATAGTCATTTAAGTTATCTTTACAACCCATTTGAATCGGTTCAATCGGACGTATGGAGAGAAAGTTAAGATAAAAATATTAAAAGAAATGTAGTGCTGATTTTTTCCAGAGAGACAGTGTCGCGTCATGGGGCCTAGGCACCGCAAAACCTAAAATTTTAACAAAAACGTGGCGTCAATGCACTGTCTACTATCATCTACGACGTGAATTTTTTACCCATTTAAAACCCATGAAATCTCCAAATTCGAAGAAAATAATAGGAGAAGTGTAAATACAAGAAAGAAGACAATTGAGATGGGTTCCACACATTGACAGACATGGAACACAGCTTCGAGAATTAGAGAGCAAAATCATAGGAGAAAACAAGAAATCGAGGATTTGGAACAAGATGAGGAACTTGGTGCAAGATTCATCCACTTCTTTACATCTCAATTCAAAACTCATTGATGTACTCAATGCAAATCCTTTGTTTTTCTTCCATTATTATGAGTAGCTAAGTTTTTCATTAGGCCGAATAATGTAATCAAATTGAGACCCTTTATTTTTTTTTATTCAAGATTCAAGTGCTTTTATCATATATATGTGTTGATTTTATTTATGTATCTAATGCTTTAAATTATTTGATCACTAATTCAATGATTTTGTGAATATTTTACGAATCGAGTGGTGAATTTTAGATTTAAACCACATAGAAAAATTCGGTATTTTAGTATAACGTGTAAAAATACCTATACTAATTATTGTGATCGTTATATGAATTCTTAGAACTAATATTTCATTTAACTAAGGTTAACTCACATTGAGATATGTGATTGAATTAGTTATTGGTTCAATGAGAACTCTTCGGGAATAAATTGAATACAATAGAAGAATTCAATCGAACGCCACATTTGGTTATGAATCTTGAATTAAGATTTAAAAGTGATCAATAGATGAATTTGTGATGCCCTAATATCTCATTCCATATTTGGATTCTAAATCGATCTGTGTGCATCTCGCTATTTTCAAGTAGTTAAATCAAAAAATCACAAGAATTCACCATTCATTGTTTGTTTTCATCAAGTAGTAGTTAGAAATTTTAAATTAAGCACTAATGTATAATCCTCATGGGAATGATAATTGGGATTTAAAGGTCCAGTATATTACTTGTTACGATATTATACACATACAGTATAAAAAAACGCAACAATATCCCTCCACATGCGTGCACTCTCCACTAAGCTGAATATTTTATTTCTCACCTTAGACATGCTGCCTTTGTAAAAGTTATAAGATATTTTCTAACTCTCAGCTATAACCAATTAGCCCTTGCATGTTGCGCCCAGTACATTTTGTCCTTTTCATATAATTTCTCAAGTTAAGTTCAAGGGTGTGTTCGGTAAAGATTAAAATCGGATTAAAATTGAAAAATTAGCCGTTATAGTTGACTTTTATTAGACGAGTGGGACCCAATAACGGCTATATTTTCAATTTTAATTTGATTTTGAGTTGTGCCAAACAAGCTCCAAATCATTTACCATATTAGCTTCTCCCATCCTCTGTCTAATGATACAAGCATTGAGGTCACCTTTTAGTTACTAATAGAAACAATAAGATGAAAGTAGAAAATGAAAATATTTAAGATTGCTAATAAATTGTATGGCGTCTTTATATTTTCTAATAAATTAAGGACTTAAATGAAATTTAAAATTGTCTTGATTATGAGATAATCTTTTTGGATAAGAAAAATTCTACAAGTAGGAACTTAGTACCCATAGACAGTTTTTAAGTGTTTATCAATGACATAGTGTATCTTCAATTATTTAATATACATTTTAATTAAATAGTGGTATGGATTACTTTTTTTCCCCTTTTCGGACAAGCCTTTCAACAACACTACCCCCAAAGCAAAAATAAATTCAATTAGGTCAAAGACAAATATTTTGTAAGAAAAATTGTAAGAACTATCCCCATCGACATTGTGTGTGTATATCACATCAAGTGAAAATCATTTTTTGACGATTTTAACCCTTCTACAATTCAATTATTTAATAATACCTTACTTTTTATTTTTAAATATCTAATAAATACTACAAAATC